TTCACGTGTAGCTGGGATGTTCTGTTTGTTGTTGTGAAGAAAGTTTTAAGAGTAAGAAATAAATTAGTATTACCAATTACACTGTTATATTGATGTACATAAGTGTTTTACTATTTAGTATATCAGTATTATGTTTACTTAACTATTTGTTACTTTGAAAACTAACTAACTAACTAACTAAAAACTAAGTAACTATTGTTACTTGAAAAAATATTTAGAAAAGTTTGAACTAGTATAAAAATCCAAATATGGACTATACAAATATCCAAATATGCAATATATATACCAGAGATACGAAGAAAAGTATCTAGCAGAGAAAGAAAAGCAGTCATAACATAGCATCTTCTCACTACAAAAATGAAGAAACAAAAAAAAGAAAGTGAATTAGTCAAGACAAAGGATAAGATGAAAACTGCGAAGAGAAACAAACAAATAAAGAAAAATAATGATGATAGTGAACAAGAAAACTCTGAGTTGATGGACCAAGATATTAATGTCCATTTTTGTTATTGTTATGTTGTTATTGTGTTGATTTATGCTTATATTCCATTTATGGGTACCTATTCCATATTTGGTTACACATTTGTAAATTTGTTTTTGTGTTAGATTTCATATTTTAATATTATTAATATTGATATATTATGATATGTATTTTTTTCAAAAAATTAATTATAAAAGAATTGTATTGTATTGTAAATTTGAGATAAATCTCTTGCTTATGTGATAAGTATTGATTGAAATTAAAATGATGCATAAAAACATAAGCACAATTACAATTTGTAAGCAACTATAACATATTTATTATTAATTTTAATCTTGAAAATGAACTGCCATTACCAAAAGTATTAATGGCAAATTTTCTTTTAGATGTACAAAATTATTGTTTAATGAGATACAGAACAAAAATTATTAAAATAAAACAACAGATCAAAATCGAATCATGCAATTGGTCCTTAATCATGAATTTACTTACATTAGAAAATACTTTGTGTGAGTCAATTTTGAACCTATCATCGACTTTTTCTCAAATACATCTGGAATGATTTCGATAAATTAAAGGCCTTTGGATGTAACTCGAGAAAAACTAAACTTCATAATTTTTGTGCTACGAACGGCCGAGCCAATATTTTTACAATTATAAGAAAAGGTCTAAGCGTCCACGATTCATTCTAAAATTTTAATTCGATGTCAAAAAACAACAACACCAATGATATTGAGGTCTACTTACAATCAGCTACACGACCCCTATCCAAGCTAATGATGAACAACCTAGAACATCAACATTTTCTGCCTACTATGTAATAAATGTAAGGGCCAGCGTTAAAAGAAAGGGCAGACAGAGTTAAAAACCGATATATTTGATGTAATTGATTTGAATTTGGTAAATATTGTAAAAGGTAGGTAAGACCAGGGCAAGAATATTCACCAAGACAACAGGACTTTGGACAAGCGATATCGAGGAAGGTAGGACATCCACATGATGGCTGACAATTGTTGAAGCCTACTACCATATTCATTAATTTTTAACTACTAGTTTTGTGCATCGTGTGCGTAATTTCAATGAATTCACAAGTTACTAACTATTATAAACAATCTGGGTCATAAGTCTGTACATCAGTATACAGCTGTTGAATTTTCATTTGGCTATTTTGTCTGTTTTGATTTTATGACTAATACAGCATTTTGAAGGATAATATTTCAGTAAGTTTGTAGACAAATACTCAATTTATCATTAAATTTATTATTCTCCCAGATAACTAATAAATTAATAAAATTATTGCTGATCAAAAAAGTGGCACAACCGTACCCAGTCTCCTCTACTTTGTACAGTTGGCGCATTTCTATCTGACATTGGGACAGTTGTTGCTCCTACTACAAATAAAATGTATAGAATTCGGACTATATGTGTCTCACCTCTGCCGCACTTGTCGATGTGGTTGGTGACCGGCAGCGAGGGCACGCACTGGCAGCTGCGTTTGTTGGGGTCGCACTCGCTGCCAGGGAAGCCGCACTCGAGCGTCGACTGGCATCGATCGCCGAACTTGGCCACGCCGCGAGACGCATAGTCTGCAATGAGAAATTAGCATATGAGCATTGATAAACATCTAGATATAAAATATTATACATATTATACATATGTATCAGTTATTAATCTGGTTAGTTAACATTTTATATAAAAACTATAATTAATCACTTAATCATATTTTTTCAAGTCATCACCGGGACTGCAGTTTTCGTTATGCTAATCTGGGACGGAGGGAGAGGTCTTTAAAATAAAAAATGCTTGTTTGAGAAAGCAATAAATAAATAGTTTGTTTTACACCTGAGCATCCATTTCTTTTATTCACAATTGCGGATTTTTAATAAGAACGTTTTATCATTCGATTATTGTTCGGACGTATTTTCATTTCATTATATCAGCCTCGAAGGCGGCAATCTTCATGGCATTGAGCTTTTACACCCGGTTTGTTGTTACCCCTATAGAAGGGTTAGCGGATTTGGTTCGGTTAATAAATACATCTTCTTCAATTAGAACTTAGTGACAAATTATTAGTGTTATAAGCAGGGCCGGATTTAGAAATTTGGCGCCCTGGGGCAATGACAAATATGCCGCCCCATCCATGAAATTTTACTTAAATTGTCTTTATATATTGTTCCCGTACCAAAAATAAAAAATAAAAAAATTTTTTTTTTTTTGAAAATTTTGAGTTTTTTTTATATTTTGAAATTTTGAACTTATATTAAAGCAATTGCGCTGCTTCAGCAGCGTAGAGACAAAATATAGATGCACGTAGGCGTCGCGTCGCAGTCTAACAGAACCCATAGAAATGTAAACAAAATTCATACTTTATTATTAAAATATCTATAAAATATCTGATAATTTGATGTGCATATGTCTAATGATCACTTTTGACCGCCAAATGTTTCTTTTTCAATTTTTTTTTATTGGATCTCCGAAACCCATAGACCTGCTTCCCACAAATTTAAACAGTTCTTCATTTTCTGATATTGGATGCTCCGTTTCTCTAAAACTGAATCACCGTTTTTGGCATTTTAGCCTAATACAGGTTACCAAAATAATTAAGAAGTTTGTAACAATCTCAGAAACTTAAATCTTCGATTAAAAAACTGATTAGTTTCTGGCACAGGCATGTCCAGCCGTTTCGAAAAATTGTAATTGAGGTTTGATATTTCCTCTCTGAAACAGCTACGCAGTGCGATTGCTTTGAAAAAAGTTCATAATTTTCATTTTTTTCATTTTTCCAAAAATTTTAAAGCTCTTTATAAAATGTAATTTTCAGTACGAGAAGTTCCAGTAATTTGCCTTAAGGAACAACGCCACTAGTCACTATTAATTTTTTTTTTTTGGCGCGGTCAAAAAGCTTGTAAGTGCACAAATTTGTCGTCTTAAGAGGGCTCGAGATCTGAAGAACATATTTTTCTTAAACTCTCAGCTCATATACGACACTTTATTTTAGCCAAATTGCCAAATTGCCAAATTATTAACTATTATTTGATAATTTACGTTCGGAGAGGGAGACAAGCAAAATAATAAATTTTAATAATCG